GTGTGTAAATGTGTGTGTTTGTGGAATAAGTGAGGAAGCGACTCCAATCACACCTCACTGTGCATGTGCATGTACGAATATGTGTATGTGTGATGCGTGCGTGTGAATGTGCAGCCGGACTACGAGTACGACTCGAGCGATCCCGAGATGGAGGAGGACGAGGTCATGTTTTCTCCGCTCCTCGCCGATCGCCTGAAGCAACAGCAGGTGCTGCACGACTGTTGGTGCCATCGCTTGCCCGCTGTTGCTGCCGTTGCATGCGCAGTACTGCTGCATTCATGCCTACCTCTTCTTACACTCTTCATCCCCGCCTTCATCTCACTCCTACTGCTATGCGTATGTGTGTGTGTGAGCAGAAAGAGTACTGGCGCGTCAAGTGGCACGACGGCCTGAGCGAGTCTGATGATGACTCAGACGGCACTTCCCACGACCACCTTCCATACCAGGTGCTGACGAGCGTGCGTGCGTGCGTGCAGCTGTTTGCATTCGTCGCTGTGTGGCAACTGCAAGCCGGTGTGCATCGCCTCACGACTTTGTTCAATCTGCACGTGCGTGTGTATGTGCGTGTGTGTGCGTATGTGCGTGCATGCGTGCGTGTGTGTGTATGTGTGTGTGTGTATGCGCAGGCCCCGGTGACTGTTGTGGACATGTACCGAAAGAAGCGCGCGGTCCTGCAGCGTCTCATCTCCATGTACCAAAGTGCGTCACGTGTTGGTTTTGAATGAATTTGTGCACGTGCGTGCGTGCATGTGTGAATATGTGAATGTGTGCGTGTGTGCATGTGTGAATGCGTGAATGTGTGAATGCGTGAATGTGTGCGTGTGTGTGCCGTTGTGAGCGCCTGCAATTGTTGTGTGTCGCCCTGTTTCGTCTTTGCCAGTCTCTCAAACCCCCCCCCACACACACACACATTCCAACGTGCCACCAGATCAACAGAAGCGGTTACGCCGCGAGCTGCTGCTTGCGCGTATGACTTACATTTCCCGCCGAAAGGCGGCTGGTCTGTCCACAAACGCACGCAACCTCCGCAACAACGTACGGGTGCAGCCTGTTTGTGTGTACGCGTGCAGCCTATTTGTGTATGTGTGTTTGTGTGTGTATGTGCATTGTGTGTGCATTGTGTGTGCATGTATGTGTATGTGCATGTGCATGTGCAATGCGTTTGTGTGTACACGTGCTAGCATGTCAACACCTGTTCTCCACACCTGCTCACCCAACACCCGGCCAACATCATATTCGCAGCCGCTGCTTGGGAAGATGCCCTCGGAGCAGCAGTGGCAGCCGCCTCCGCCTGGTCTTGATCTCTTCGAAGAGTCGCCAGGATCAGCCAACCCGCTCCCGGTGCTGTGCTCATGCCGCTTTGTTGTTAATGGCTGGTAGTGCTGGTGTGAGGGGAGCGGCGGGACGCACGTAATCAGAGTGTTGGATGCTATGTGTGTGTGTATGTGTGTATGTGTGTGTGTGTGAGCGCGCGCGCGTGGGTGCTATGTGTGTGTGTGTGTGTGTGTTTGTGTGTGTGTGCGTGTGTGTGTGTGTTGAAGCGGGCCTTTCCATACTATTGCGCTGTCGTGGGTGACGTCATCCCAACAGCACATGCTGTCGGCTATTCCCTTACCCCATCTGTTGTGGTTCACACCGATGTTCGTTCATCTCACCCCTTCTCACCCCGCATCTACTCCTCTCGTCTTCCTCTTATGCTCGTGTCTCCCATCAGTATCCCGACAGCGAAGATCGAGCGCTATACATTGCCCGCCTCCGTCTCGCCGAGCAACGTCAGTGCACGTTACGCAACAGTGTTTCCAGCATTGCTGCTCACACAGTGTTACATCCACGGCTGTTGAACTTTCTCTTGTTCAACACCAACCTCAGCTGTTCTGTCCACACTTTACACATGCACATGTCTGCACATGTCTGCCCACTCGTTCGCTCAACTTGCTCAGCTGTTGCCACTCACTCTTACCCCTCTATCTATCCACAACACCCCCCCCCCCTTGTTCTGCCTGTGTGTTCAGGCAAATACATGCAAGCGAATCCCAATGCGCAGCAGCCCCTGCACCCGACCTGTGTGTTCACCTCAGACTACCTTCCCCCATGCCAGCGAAGGTGTGCATGATGTTTGTGTGTTTGCAGACGGTGTGTGTGTGTGTGTGTGTGTGTGTGTGTGTGTGTGTGTGTGTGTGTGTGTGTGTGTGTGTGTGTGTGTGTGTGTGTGTGTGTGTGTGTGCGTGTGTACATGTGTGTTGTGCGTGTGTACATGTGTGTGTGTGCGTGTGTGTGCTGTGTGATGTGTCAAGTACAGTCCCCAGCACCACGCCCTGTTCCTTTCCTCGATTCATTCGTCAACCCCCCCCCCCACACACACACACACCACCACCTGCTTGTGGCTATATAGGCGTGTGCCGTTCAGCCAGTACTGCACCGTCCACATTCTCCATGACCACAACCAGGTGCTCTTCAAGCCGTGTCAGCATGTTGGCGACAGCGGTCACAAGTGCCTGAAGCCGATTCTCCGGTGCCAGGACCCGCCCATGTGCTTCCACCACATGAGATTACGCGATTTGATCAGGTGAGGAGGGGGGAGGGGCACGTGGGAGAAAGGGCTTGCGCTGCTGCGGCATCTTCACTGAGACTGCAGTTGTTTTTGGTTGTTGCTGTGTTGCTGCTGTGTGTTGGTGTATACTGCTGTGTGTACATCTTGGAAAATGCACGATCATGTGTGACAAAGATACTTGGCTGACGTTGTTGTCTCATGTGCACACACAAACACAAACGCAAACACAAACACAAACACAAACACAAACACAAACGCAAACACAAACACAAACACAAACACAAACACAAACACAAACACAAACGCACATGCGCAGGAACCCGCGGCTATCGCGAGATGCGGTGATTGAGGCGGTGCACTCTGGTCTTCCAACCACGTTCCTCGGCGTTGAACTCACAGAGGCAGAGCAGGTGGGTTCTGCTAGCTTGCTGCAAGGCTGTTTGTTTGGGATGTTTGTTTGCCTGTCGTCCATCCGCATCACCTCCTTATGCTGAGAAAATGTCACTACCAATCCTTCCGCTCACCGCTCACCACTCACCACTCACCACTCACTACTTCTTCCCCCTCCGACACCATTTGGCGTTGCTCCGTGTGCCATGCATGCTCGCACCGTCACAGGAGCTGCTGCACGACCCCTCGCTGCTGACGATGTTTGACCTTGACCTCGACTTTGACGCCGTGGAGGAGTTTACGCGACACCTCGAGCACGAAGTGTTTGGCCCCCCACCCGGCCACGTACCACCGTCCCTCACGCCGAGTGCCGTTGGTCTCCTTCGCTCCCGTCTGAGCAAGCCAGGCCCGCCACTCGCCTCCAACACGACGTCGTCGTCCACATCGTCGTCGGCGTCGTCGAAGCCAACACCACCGCCGTCACCCCGCACGGCCATGCGCTTCCGCACGCTGGCAGCAGTGGCCGGCGCACACTCGCCAACACACGGTGTGTGCTCGTGGTGTACGTGTTTGTGGTGTACGTGCGTGTGTGTACGTGCGTGTGTGTGTGTTGGGCTCAACGTTTCCTGTGAACAGTTGGCTCGGTTTACTTCTCTGTTTCTTGTTTTCGCTCTTGTGTGTGCAATACATCCGACGCTCACCATGCCCTGTGTCCTGCACCATGACCCAACGCTCGCAGATGCGCACTCCGGCCCGCTGGATATTCTGCACATGGACGAGGCCGCAATGATGTTTGGCAGCGGCGATGACCGCATGTACTTCCCGCGCACTGGTGATCCACCGTCGCTCACGCCGCCAACCTCGTCCCCGCCCCGCGCCCTCGCTGGACTGCTCGCCAGCCACCCTGCCGGCCGTGTACTCGATGCACCAGGCCCAAGTGGCGGTAACGAGGATGATGACGAGGAAGCGACGGCAAGGGCAGCATACGATGAGCTGTTTTCGCTGCCATCTGCAAGCTCCCTGCGCCATTCAGCGGTTCGCGCCCGCACACTCTCGCTTGGCTCGGGTCTGTCATCCATGCGCAGCAGCAATGGGTCAGCAGCCGGTGACCAGCGAAGCAGTGCCCGTGCCCGTGCCCTTGGCAGTGGTGCTGAGCTTCGGCGCGTCAGTTCGATGGACGCCACAGCAGGCGACCGCGGTGGCTCTTCGCTGAAGCCGCGCGGGGATGATGTGACGACAGCAGTAGATAGCAAGGGTGGTGATGGACGTGATGGCGGCGCTGAAAAGGGTGACACCGATGTGACTGCCTCTCGGGCTATCAAGATGTCGGGTAGCGCCAAGCGCAGCAGTTGCAGTACTCGTGGCGGTGGCAGTGGTGATGATGATGGCACCCGCGCCGGCACCAGCGCAAGCACCAGCAAGAAGGGCGACAAGGAAGGCCCTGCAAACGCAGCAAAACGCCACAAGCGTGGAGGCAACGGTGCCACTGCAAACTCAACTGGCGGTGGTGACAACGACGCTGACGATGACGGCGATGATGATGATGATGAGGAGGAGGAGGAGGAGGAGGGGGAGGAGGAAGACAGCGCTAACAGCAGCCTGTCTGTATTTGGGCGGCCGAAGCCCTTGCGGACAAGAATATCGCCGCCTGTGCTGGATGGCGAAGCCGTTGTTGAGCTTGAGGACACCATCTTTGAAGTCAAGTCAGAGTACGTTGCGCTCGAGTCCCTCATCAACAGCCGGCGCCCGTCAACTGTTGACCCGCCCGTGCCGCAGCCCACGCCATCACACATGTCTCCGTCGCACTTTGGGCTGCACGGTCTCACGGAGCAGGAGATTGAGACGCTCATCAGAACAGTGCAGGCGGAGGTGGCGGCGCAGCCGCAATCGGCACGCGAGCCGTCACCAGCGACCGCAGCAGCAGCGGCCGCGACAACAGCGACATCGGACACAACTGCTGCTGTTAATGCTTCGGCTGCGGATGCCAACGAACACAACGAACACGGCCCATCCTCAACGGTAGCGCCCACCACAACAAGCGCTTCTGCTTCCGAGGGACCGAACAACACCGCCACGACCTCTACAACGACAACTGCGACCGCGTCTGCTTCCAAGTCTGGCACTGCGCCGTCGAGTGACAGTGGAGCTGAGAAGAATAAAAGTGGCAGCGAGGAGCAGGCGCCCAGCACGAGCGTTCCCGTTGCAGCCTCAACCACGACATCCAGGACACCTTCAGCACCACAGGCATCGTCTGCCTCTCCTAATTTGGCGTCTTCTTCTTCAGCCCAAGCAACAACGCAAGCGACAGTGTCGGCAACCACAAGCACAAGTGCAGCAAGCCAGAATCAGTCCAACAACAGTGATGCGGCCTCGAGTGCACGCTGATGTCACAAGCAGCAGCTGCAGTGGCCCACCGCTTCACACATGCAAACACACAACCACCATGAGTCGATGGAGGATGCGGGTACATCCTCAGAACAACAAACAACAGCAGCCAGTCCTGCTGTGCATGAGCGCCATTTGCACATGTGTGAATGGTTTGATCCTTTGCTCCATTTTGATGTATGACTGACTTGCCTCGCGCGTGCCAAAGCCAGACCCAGAGTACTCTCTTGCTCCTGTGGTGAACGTAATCATTGTACATACGTAGTAGCTGTCTCACTGGAATCCAACGCGTCGCACATGCCATGGATGCAATCATGTTTTAACTTAGGGCAATTTGATACAAACGAGCAAGTGAAACAAAGAGACGAGCACAACCCAAATGTACAACGTGGGCGTGCACACAACGACAAAGCTGCGGTGAAAGCAAGGGGCAGGACAGGAGTAAATCAAAACGCAACGAGAGACTGCACGGCAATCAAGTAATGTAACACGCGAACGAAAAATAAGGAACAGCACATGACATGGCAGGAGAAATAAAGAAGAAAGAAAGCGCAGTGTACAACAACAGAGCCATGAACGAGCAGCCAAGCTGAGGGCAGAGAAAGACCGTGGGTGAACGTGTGTGTGGGGGGGGAGAAGCCGTGCGAGCAACCAGCAAGCAGGCAAAGTTCGTTACCTCGGCAACACTGCCTCCTCCTTCTCTCCCCAGGATAACAATCACGAAGATGGACGGCTTGGTGTGGACGTGGCCATGTCAGAATCCATTGGTGACAGACGGCCCTGGAGCGCGTTGAGATGCCGCGCAAGCCGCTGCTGGAACGCAACCGCCTCTTCTGTCTCCTCACGAAGGAACTTGCCATCTGTTTCGCTTGTGCTCGTGCCACCACCGCCGCCGCCACCGCCACCACTGGCGACCGTATGGCTGTGGTGCGCGTTGATTGATGGCAGAAATGCCCACGCCAAAGAACGTCCGCTGCTGTGTTCTCGCCGCTGCGCCCGCTGCAGCAAACGAACTCAACGGATACTGCCGTTGCTGTTGCTGTTGTTGTTGAAGTTGTTGTGGCTGTTGATATGTGTGCTGTGAGTTTTGCTGCTGGGTGCTTGGGTGGCGCTGCGGTGTGATGGGGTCATGCGAGAGTTGGGTGGCTTCAGCGCGCGTGCCGATTGGAGGCGCAGACTCGCCCCGCCGACTGTCGTGCATCAGCGAACCCATGCTCGTGTTGACGGACAATGACAGTGGTGTTGTGTTGTAGCGATACATTTCCCCGCCCTCATCGTCATCTTCATCATCATCAGTCCTCGCCTTTTCCTCTCCTGTCGTCGTCGTTGTTGCTGTCACCGTTGGCTGCGCTGCACGGGCGCTTTTCAGCTCCTCACCGCTTGTTGCGGTTTGTTCCTTGTTGTCGCGCCTGCTTCCACAACCCGCTGATGCTGTGGCTTCCTCGCCCTCCACAGCAAGGTGTGACAAATGTGTCCGGTTCAGCAAGCGATCATACTCGGCCTGCGCATGCGATTGGCTTGTGCTTTGCAGCTGTTGCTGTGCTTGCTGCAGCTGCTGTTGTTGCGCTTGGAGCTGTGACCAGGCCACTGCAAGCTGTGCCACCTCGGCTGCGCTCGCCGACGTATCCGTGGCCGACCTCAACGTGTGCACACCACCAGCAACTGCCTGTGCTGCTGTTCTTGTCGTTGCTGCTGGCGGTGGTGATGTTTGTGCCTGTGTGCTGGCCGCACCGAGCAGCGACGTGCTTTCGTCCGTCTCCTCCCCCATCAGCGTCTTCGCCAGCCCGCGCGACGAGTCAGAGTCCTGCCATTTTTCGGTCGCAATCAAACCATTTCGTAAACAGCTGACGGATTCATGTGTGTGTGTGTGTGTGTGTGTGTGTGTGTGTGTGTGTGTGTGTGTGTGTGTGTGTGTGTGTGCGTGCGTGCGTGCGTGCGTGTGTGTGGGGGGGGGGAGGGGGAGGGGTAACATTCCGTTGAACGCACATCGACGACATAAGGCCACAACGGTGTGTGCGCACAAACCTCGATCGGTGAGTGCTGCAGTGGCATGAGCGGCGCCGTGGTTTGCAGCAGGTGGTGCAAGGACGATGGTGGCTGCTGTTGCTGTTGTTGTAGTTGTTGAGTTCCTGTCGACGGCTGCACAGATGACAATGGCCACGACTGTGTTGCAATCGGGCGCACCAAGAAACCCCCGCTGGTCGTGAGCTTTGAAGGGAACACATGCACAGATGGTCGTGTCACGTACGGTACGAACAACGCACAACAAACAGCAACGACAAGCACGATTGCGCGCGAACCACTGACCCATTGCATCTGCTTGTGGAATGCTTCAATGTTCCGCCGCAACCTATGAGGAGTTGGAGGAAATGGCCAGAAATGGGTGTGAGACCGCAAGACAGAACACAAAGCCCAGCAGTCTTGTTCATCCACACACACACACACACACACACACACACACACACACAACACACACACACACACACACACACACACACACACACACGAAGCGAGGTTGTCTGACCTTGAATTTTCCACACGGAGCAGGGTGGCCAGGCGGGCATCAATGTCCTCCTCCATCATGGACGTGGAGGTGGAGTTGGATTGCACGTCATGTTGCAACAACACGCTCAGCCCAGCCCGCATGTCAATGCCAGTGTCCGCCTCCCCCGCCGCCACTGCCCTCTCTTGTTGTTGTTGTTGTTGTTGCTGTTGTTGTTGTTGTTGCTGCTGCTGTTGTGGTTGGCGGTGGGCGACAGCACCACCACGACTAGCGTCAGCTGCAGCTGCAGCTGCTGATCCGAGGCTTGCCACTGACCCAACGTCCGGCATGGACCCGCGTGTTGCCTTCAGCGTTGTGTGCGTTCGCTGTGACGTTGACAACACGTCAGCACCTTCACCGCCACCGCCCGTTGCGCCCGTTTGTGTCGTGGATGCTGTGGCCGCGGTTTTGGCAAACGAGAGGTCGTGTTCGTTCGTGCTGCCGCCGGCCTCGCGTGCTTGCGTGCGATGCGAAATGTGGGTGTGGTGCGAGTGGCGGTGATGACGGCTATCGTGACGCTGCTCTGCAGTGTCAGCGCCACCACCGCTACTACCACCGTCACCACTCTTCTCAGCGTGCGATGTGGTGCGTTCGGTGGCGGCCACAGCACGCGCCCGCGAGTGTAGATTCAGCTCCTGCAGCAACGAGTCTGTCGAGTCACTCTCTTCGTTCAAGTGACGCAAGGAATCGCTCAGCTGCTGCCCAATCCACTGCTCGCCATGTCCGACGTCGTGCGAGCTCGATGGCGATGCGCGCTCCTCGTCGTCGCCATCCTCGCCACGGCGCTGTGTGGCGGGCTTTGTCTGCTGTCGCATAGAAGACACGTGTTGTTGTTGTTGTTGTTGTTGTTGGCGGATGCGTGAGGCCACTGCTGCCTGCACGTCATCGTGCATGCCTTTCTCCGGCGTTGTCATTGTTCTCAGCTGCTGTTGCAGCAGCGTGTTGGACGCCTGGTGACACATGCGCACACGCACACAATACAACACAAACCAAAACACGACACAGCCACCCACATGCATGCACGCAGGAACAATCAAGAAGATCCGTGCTTGCGGTGAGTTGATGCAAGCAAAGTAACCAAAAAACAAATCTCATGCACGTTGAATCCCAGACAATGACACTGCCTCCCTGTCGTGCGTGATGGTGTTGAGTTTTGTTTACCTGCAGCGTTGAGAGCTCGGAGGAGAGGCCGTGAATCTGTGTTTCATACGTGGCAATATCTTTGTCCTTGGCTGCCAGCTGCTGCTGTATGCGCGTGTTCAGCTCAAGCAGGCGGTTGATTTCGTCAAGCATGGAGTGCTTTTCAGCCTGCGCCGACACCGCCTGTGCCTTTGCTTCCTGGCACGTCGCCTGCAGCTGTCGCAGCTCCCGTTGCAATGTTGCGCCCGTTTGCTGCTGGCTCTGCAGATCAGCGGCCGCGCTCGCCTGTGGCGATGGTGGCGATGGCGGCGATGGTGATGACGGTGATGGCGCGGTTGTGGTGTTAGTGAGCGCAGAAACATTGATAATGCACGTGGCTGATCTGCCGCTGTGACATGCCACGAGCTTTGACACTTAATGGGCACTACATCTCATTCGCACACACACACACATACACACGCACCTGCTTCTGTGCGTATGCCTTGAGTTTTGTCTCCATGCGCTCGGCAGCCTGACGGGTGTCTGCCACCGTCTGCAACGCGTCGTGCAGCTTGCGTTTGTACGACTCGTTCTGCTTCGTCTTTGCACTCAAATCCTCGTGCAGCAGCCGCAGCTCCCGCTCCCGCGTGGACAGCACCTGCCAGGCGTGCATGTTTGTGTGTGTGTGTGTGTGTGTGTGTGTGTGTGGTTAGTGTGTGCGTGTGTGTGTGTGCGTGTGTGTGTGTGTGTGTATGTTTGCGCGCGTGCGTGTGTGTGGTTAGTGTGTGTGTGCGTGTGTGTGCGTGCGTGTGTGTGTGTGTGTGTGAGGAAGCGTGAGCGCGCGTGCACGTGAGTTGTGATTGTGAGGCAGAAATGGGCAATTGTAGGTTCGCAGTAACAAAGTGCACGGGGGAGTATTTGTGTCTGTCTGTCTGTACGTCTGCCACCGTTCATCATCACGAATGCGCGCGTACGTCTTCAAGGGAGCGGACTTGCGACTGGGCCTCCACTTGGTTGTTGAGCGCTTTCTGCGCCACCGTGTCGGATTCGGCCATCTTCTTCTTCAGTTCAGCATGCTCTTCTTGCAACTGCACACGCGCACACGCGCACAACACACAACAGGCAGCACACAACAGACAAAAAAAGCAGACACATGCAGCGCAAACATTGTTTTCTTGAGTGGGTGTGAAGCCGAAACAAAACAAAAACGAACTCGTTGGGCGCAAACGCCTTCACCAGCATGAGCGGCAGCCTCGACGAGTGCCAGTCCAAGCGCACAAACATACACACGCACGCGCACACATACGCACATATACACACACACATACGCACACAAGCACGCACCTGGTCGTGGCGCTGGCGGAAGACCTTGTGTTGTGCATTGAGCGTCGCCGCCTCGGCAATCAGCTTGCGCATGTCTGCTTCATAACGGCTCTTCACCTCATTCAGGGCCTGCGCCTGTCCATCCACCACAGGACAATTCAAGGGCGTGCATGCACGTGTGTGCGAGTGACGACGGCGATGATGAGCGTGGTTGAGAATTGCAAGCAGGTACTGATTGGCACAGGCTCACAGAGACACCTTTCACAAACAACAGCAAACAGCAAAGAACAAGAACAACAACGACGACGACAACAACAACAACAACAACAACAACAACAACAACGACGACAACAACAACAACAACAACAACAACAACAACAACAACAACAACAACAACAACAACAACAACAACAACAACAACAACAACAACAAGTGTACACACGGAAACGCCAGCACAACATCAGCCCACCCGCTTCAGTCGCTCTGCCTCAGACGTCTCTTGGCTCTGTGCAAGGAGGTCGAAGTCGCGTCGGAGTTGGGCGGTGTGGCGCTCGGCCTGGGCTGCACGCGCGAGTGCAGACGACAGCTCGTCGTCCAAGTCATGGATTCGCTCCTCCTTCCGCTTCACCTCCGCTCGCAGCCGGTCGCACGTCTTCAAGCCATCGAAGCGTTGTGAGTGAGTGTGAGTGTGAGCGAGAGTGCGTGCGTGCGTGCGTTCGTGCGTGTGTGTGTGTGTGTGTGAGGACATAATCGTGGGGGGAGGGAACGAGTAGATGCATGGCAATACACGCACACGGTATCTGGACCTTTTCGAGGGCTGTCAAGCCGGACCGAAACTCCGTTTCCATCGCTTGCATCTGTTACGAGTGTGCATACGCGTTTGGGGTCAGCAAGTGTTACCCATTCACGTGAACAGAAGCGTACCCAGTGATCCGCATGCTGGAAAAGGGCACTTCTTGATCACGAGGCGACCCCACACTCAAGTCACACACACACACACACAACACACAGGCACACCCAACCTAACACAGGGCCGCCACGGCGCACGTGCTAGTGGACGCCAGTTGTTGCTGCTTACCTGGCCGGATGTCTCGAGCGACGACGCGGATTCGTTGGAGAGGCGCGTCTGCAGCTCTTCAATGACAGCATTCTGCTCCCGAACTTTCTGCTTGAGGGACGACAACTGCAACACGTGCGCGATTGTGTTTGTTTACGTGTGTGTGCGTGCGTGCGTGCGTGAGTGTGTGTGTGTGGGTGTGTGTGTTGTGTGGGTGTGTGTGGGTGGGTGAGGTGGGGCACACGGGATGTAGAAAAGGGATAGCCGCACGTGCAAGCAGAAAAAAAAAAAGAGACAGCAGTCAACGCACACCATGCAACACCAATGCACAGCACTATTCGAGCACGCAACACCACCCAATCACGGCATCAGTTCCCCCACCTCTTTGTGGTAGCGCTGCATGCGGGATGCTGCCTCCTCTGCGCGGTGGCTGGCCTCGCTCGCCATCTTGTTCGCCGTCTGCTGCTGCTCAATCGCCCGCTGCAGTGACTGCTCATCAACAGGTGTACACATATCAACGCGTGAGGGGTAAGCAATCAACACACACACACATACATACATAGAGCGCTCAAGGATGCACACACACGTGCGCGCGCGATGCACGCAGACAATCTCACACACACACACACACGCAAGACGCTCTCATGACACGTGCAAAACAAAATCACCTTCTCAAGCTGTGCAATGCTTTGATCGCGGGCGGTGAGGGCCTGCTTGTGCGCGTCGTTGTCGCTCTTCAACGCCGCCACCTCCTCCCGTCGCGCCCGCAGGTCTTCCTCTCGCCGGTGCTCCAGTCGCGTCAGCTCAGCCTGCGCCTCGTGCAGCTGCAGGCAATCGTGTGTGTGTGTGTGTGTGTGTGTGTGTGTGTGTGTGTGTGTGTGTGTGTGTGTGTGTGTGTGTGTGAATTGAAGTTGCGGCGATGGCGCACAATAGAGTCCAAGTCCAAGGTTGTCATGATGTATAACGGGAGGATTGCAGCACAAGGTGACTTGAGCAATTCATCCAAGCGTTGGCTTCGTTCTTCTCCCACCACATCAAATCAAACGACATATCAAACAACCACTTGGACCACACCACCACCACCCCTACATCCCTGCCCCAACTGACCTGTGTGCGCAGGGAGGCGGCCTCTGCCTTTGCGCTCTCCAGGCGGTCACTCAACGCCACGTGCTCCGAATTGCGCTGCCGTTCGTCTTCGAGCAGCCGCCGTCGCAACTCGTCTCGCTCCCGCCGCAGCTTGGACATGTGCTTCTGGCTCTCGTCATAGCGCATCTGACACGCGTCCCGCTCCACACGACAGGTGGACAGGTCGTCCTCTGCCCGCGTGATCTTGCGCTGCCACTGCTCCTGCAGCTGGTGTAACTCGCTCTCCACCAGTCGAAGTTGCTGCTCAAGCTGGGCCTTCTCGTCCCGGTACGTGCCCTCCAGCGCCTGCGCAGAATGGGAACGCGTGGGGACGTTGTATGGTATGGTGTGGTTGTGGTGTGGTATGATGTGGTGTGTTGTGTTGTGGCATGCGCGGTGGATGGAGTGAATAGTTCGTTGAGCGGTTGTTGGGTTGGTTGGTTGGTTTGGGTGGGAGTAAGGGTCATGCAGGCCACGGAGAAGCACGAGTGAGTGTTGGTGAAAATGCGTGCGAGTGTGGAGTGCCGCCATTGCAGACAAGTCTCCCACTTTGGACAGCATGTCGCCAGTGTGTTTCAAATTCAAGTGGCGAGGTGCTGAGAACGACGCATGGGGTGCAGGACAAACAAAGGTAGTCATGACAGTGGCTTGCACCACACCTTGAGCTCTCGCTCCTTTTGCTGCAAGAGGGCCTGGTTCGTGGAGAGGATGCTGTCATATCGAGACGTGAGGTCGTGCGATGTCTGTCCAAGCGCCTCCAGCTGCTTACTCAGCTTGCTATTCTCCCGTTTCTATGAACGCGCGCACGTATGTGTGTGTGTGTGTGTGTGTGTGTGTGTGTGTGTGTGTGTGTGTGTGTGTGTGTGTGTGTGTGTGTGTGTTGGAGGGTGCGGTTGAACGGTGGGACAAGTTGCGTATATTTTTGTATGTGTGTGATGGCTCGACGTTGTGCGCAACAATATGCATGGGAAGCAGCACAGTAATTGAGATCCTTCAGCGGGGAATGAACACAACATACCAGGCTGCACTGGCCGTCCTTCAAGCGAGCAATCTCTTCCTGTTTCAGATCAACCTCCGCTTGCAATCCTGGTAGGTGAATGCAGCGTGTGTGTGTGTGTGTGTGTGTGTGTGTGTGTGTGTGTGTGTGTGTGTGTGTGTGTGACATAATGGGCCGTTCAGGATGTTCAGGTGTCCACAAGCACGCACACACATGTGTGTGTGCAGGCTTGGCAGTGGCTGCCATTGCGTGCAACTGCCACCAAACTGCAAGAGTACCACCAACATAGAACAGGGAACGACTTACGCTTGAACCGGGTTTCCCACTCCTTCCGCTTCTCCATGACAAGGTCATCGACCTGCGAGCGCACGCCGTAAGAAGACATGGGAAGCCATGAGTGACGA